AAGAATATGCACTATATGCTATTCTATCAAGAAGGAAAGAAGTATATAACATTTACCATTCCTGGAAATACTCCTCAGCAATGTAAATGCCTCCTAGGTTGTAACTCCATTAAACTTTCTATTCATATTTTGCGTGATTGTAAGGAAGTTCAAGATGTTTGGAAAATATTAATAAATCCTACAAAACTTAATACCTTTTTCTTTTTTGGAGTGCAATAATGGATAATTTAAAATATTAAAAATGAAGTAAGTAGTTTGGTAACAAGAACTCCTTGGTAAAAACTTTTTGTCCAACCATGTTGGAACATATGAAAAGCCAAATGTAGGAAAGTCTAATTTAAAGATGATATGCTAGAAAGTGACATTGCTTTCCCCCGCATCCAATAGATAATCAACAACTTGAAGCTTTTTTTTTTTGTTAGAACAACCTGAAGCTTTAATCTAAGATCAACCAAATAAGCAAAAGAGACAATAAATATGAGGCTAAGTGGAGCCGTTTGGAACTTGGTTGAAATAGACTCAACATTGATAGTTCGATTAATCTTAATGGTTTTATTGCATGTGGAGATATCATTAAAGATGATAAGAGAAATTGGATTAAAGGATTTTGCAAGAATTTTATGCACTAAATCAGCATAGCAGTCAACCTCTTGGGAGTTTTAAAAGGTTTCAGTCATTATTGGAATGAAAAATTATTCAAAATTAATATTTATTTAGATTATATGGAAGCTTTATCACTTATTGATAATAGCTAGAGCTGTGCAAGAAGCCTAAAATGCCTGCACTGGCTCAATAGTTTTTTGCCTTGCCCATACCTGAAAATAATTTCCTAAAAACAAATAGGCATAGTTGGGTTAAGCGCAAACCTCGGTTGGGCAGGGCTTAGGGTTAAGGAGTCCAATTAGTTAGTCATACCTAACCCGATGTTATATATTATTTTTTTAAAAAAATTAAACTGATGTCATTTTGTTGGTTGGAAGTGACAAGCTAAGATAAAACCCTATCTTCTCCTCACTCAAGTTTTGACTCTTCTTTTTAGTGCTCAGCCATCTCGCTTGCCTTTTTTCTCCTCTCCTCTCCTTGCTCAATCTCGCACAGTTGGACCACTACTCACTCATTCACCACTCAGGAGACAGGACTCAATAATGTTGTTCCTCCCTTATTCTTGGCACCTCTCTCTGTCTCCATCTCCTCTCAAGAGTCATCATTCCTCCCTTTATCTTGGCACCTCTCACCGTCTCCATCTCCCATCGCAAGTGACATCGAGAAATTATCCTATTCCAATGAATTCATATTGTGATCTTAGCTCCTCACCTCCTTCTCATTATTGGCCACCTATTAGCTTGTCTTTGTCATCGTCCAAGAAGGTCTTATGTTGACTGTGTCTGCCTTTGGTCCATTGCTCGCCTTTAATCATTGTCGAGACTACTTCATCACTTCTATTTCTTGCATCAAGATTGTGTTGTTCTGATCTCTGATTTAGCAAGCTCTAGTCTTTGATTGCTTTATTAATCATGTTCTCTTACTCTTTAATGCTCTAGCAATCCAAAGATGCACAAAGAACCTAAAAAGGATCAGATTGCTTCAAAAACTAAGCATCAACCCCCATGTTATAGATCATTGTGATAGTCAATGAATTTGAAAATCTCTTTATATATATATATATATATTTCTTTTATGTCATTTGTAGGTTTATTGATTTTTTTCATTTCCAATTATTTTGCTGCAAGAATTTTTCTTCAGTCTACGATTTATTCAGCTACTTTGAGCCCATGATTTTGTTACTAGTAATGGTTTTTTAAGGCCTACTTTAAGCCTGATTTTAATATATTTTGGTCCAATTAAAAACTTGTAAGTAACCAAAAAAAAGATATTGGACTGGACATCTAGCTCGATATGTCAGACCTTGCCTGCTCGACCCTTCCATAAAAGAGCATCTTTCTAGTAGGCTCGAGATTTGGGCAAGTTTTTTTTGCACAAACACATTTAAGGCAGGGCATCGGGTTAAGGGCGTGCCCTACCTGAACTACCCATACACAACCCTAATAATAGTTACTATGATAAGCATCCTTTCTACATGATTATGAAGAATATTAGAAATTTCATTATAAGAAATTGAGTAGTCACTTTTAACCATATCTATAGAAAAGCCAATAAATATGTTGATTTGCTAGCCAAAAGGATATTGTGCGATAGTTTTGATATTTTTATATGTGATAACCCACCATTCCTGACTATGAAGGCCTCGTGACTTTAGATATGATTAAATTTTAGTCTTTTTATGTATGAAAAAATAAATTACCATTCTTTCCCCCTACACACACGATTGTCAAATTCAGCTACTGATCGTTAATATTATATAAACATGCATGTTCAAAGCATTTTGGATATTCTGTGTACGTACGCATTACCATTGTGGATAGATTTGTTCCAACATAAAACATCTGTTAACAATAACCACCTCTGAAAATATCAATTATTCCATGGCACATAATAAAAATAACACTGTTAATTGTTTTTTTTTTGAAACTAAAGAAATGACAAAAATTTAATCATCATATATTTTAAGATACAGTCATCCAAATTATCCATACAATTTGATTCAACGCTCTTAATTATATTATTTTTTTGGGTCAAAAAATTATATTATTTTTGAAATATTATTTTATTATTCACTACTCTATGATAATAGCATTTTTATGCATTATAGTATAATAGTAAAAAGTAATAACAATATATAATAGTTTAATCTATTTGAGAATCAGACACTTATGCGATGTGGGGGTGAACATACAGGGACTTATAGTCTGGCCTATTTTAGATCCAGCTTAATTTATTTATTAAATAAGCTTAGACTATGTTTATATTTTTAATTAGGCCTATTTAATTAAATAGACCAAGTTTATTTTTTGAAGCCTAGTTTATGAGCCAAGAGGCTGCCCTATTTATACATACATACATATAATGTAATATATTACAAACATATCAATTTCATCATTTAATTTTTAATCAATCTATTTTTTATTTCTAGTTATATTTTTAATTATATTGAATTTATATATTAATTTTAAACATTGTTACTTTGTTGTTATTTATATTGTAGTTGGTAAGTTCTTTCAATTGTTATATATTATAATTGATGAATTAGATTATATATTATATACTATAATAGTTTTAAAGTATATTTAAGAAAACTAAAATATGTGTCTATTTAAAAGACTTACTTTTTAAGTAGGCTTTAGGTTAGGCTCAGCTTTAAATAGACTCAGGCTTTAGCCGTGAAAAAAATTTTATATAAACTTCAGACCAAGCTCAAAATTTTAATTTATTATATAAATTTGATCTATTTAATTAAACTTAACTCGACCTAACCTTATTTTACCCCTACTCACCCCCTTCTTGATTGACAATATATATATATATATATATTGGACAAGATTGACAATAAATATTAGGTAGAATGATAGTTAGGTTTTAAAACAGTAAATTAATATCAGTTAAATTTTTAACAAATTTTTTTAAAAAACAAGTTGAAAATATTGATCTAAATTGTTATAAATTTAAGAGTTTCAATTACAGTAAGTATTTAAACATTAAATATAATTTTTAAATTAAAATAGAAATTTTTGTTTGCAACTATTGAAATTGATATTTATAATTTATATTTAAAAAATTATTTAAACCTTAATTGATATTAATCACTGTTTTAAAATTTAATTGCCATTCTTATTTAGTGATGGTTACCGACCAAGAGAGAGAGAGAGAGAGAGAGAGAGAGAGATAAAGTAGAGAACGGGGTTTGCCACCTGGGACGATCTCGAGGTGGCTCCCACTTTACGTCGTCCAATTTGCTTTGGCCCTTGCTCGCTTATAAATACATCCTCCCCTCTCACACAATCCCCATTCTCGTTTCTCATCAAAACTGATCTCCTGTACTTCTCTTCCTTATTTTTCTTTAAACTGCTCTCACAGACTCTTAGATTTCTTGCTGAGTGTGGATCTCAAGCAGCCATGGCTGGCGGAGGTATCGTCAGTGGGGTTGGCGGTAGCGATTTCGAAGCCAAGATCACTCCGCTCGTCATTATTTCATGCATCATGGCCGCCACCGGAGGCCTTATGTTTGGATACGACGTCGGCGTGTCAGGTCTTTCTTAAACTCGTTCCTTCCTTCTCTGCAACCTATCACTTCTGTTTCTTTTCCACCAATATGATCACAAATTCCTTTTTTGGGTCCATACGGAGTCCCTTTATTCCTTCCTGTAAAGCTAACTTTATAGGTTTGTTTGAATATTCATACTTTATATATTATTTTCCTCTTGTTTTGACTGAATTTTTCGAGTTTTTTTAATAAAACTCAGCTGAGAAAGCAAAAAACAAATTTATTTTTCTATCTTATACTTTCCGTTATCAACGTTTTGTGAAGATTTTGGTTAAAAAAGAGTCCAACCCGGTGAAGGTTATTTTGTGAATTTGATATTTTTGACGAAAATATTGGGAAACTCCAATTGCTAAGGCCATCGGGAACTTGTTGAATCGAACCCCCAAAAAAAGCACCCGAACAGAGAGAACTGAATAAAATTACAATCGCAGCCATAGCCTAAATATTTTATTTCTTGTAAACTAATGTATGTTATTTGTCATCCTGGAATGGACCAGGTGGAGTGACGTCGATGAAGCCATTCCTGAAGAAATTCTTTCCGGTAGTATACAAACGGACGGTGGAGGAGGAAGGGCTGGACAGTAATTACTGCAAGTACGACAACCAAGGGTTGCAATTGTTCACGTCGTCTCTGTACCTGGCGGGTTTGACAGCGACCTTCTTTGCTTCCTACACGACCAGAAAGTTGGGAAGGAGGCTAACCATGTTGATTGCCGGCCTCTTCTTCATCGTCGGAACCGTCTTCAATGCCGCCGCTCAAAACCTTGCCATGCTCATCGTCGGCAGACTCCTACTCGGTTGCGGCGTTGGTTTCGCTAACCAGGTCCGTCCCCCATTAAACATATATTCAGTCCTATCTTGGGAGAAGATTAATTTTATTTTGGCGTACTTCACTGTTTTTAATTTATATTCATTTTTATTAAATATTAATTTTTTGTCTTCAAAGACGAGTAAAAATTTATTAAATTTTAAGATAAAATTAATAAAATATAAGATTTTTCTCGGTTATGCTAAATCATGCCAAAAATGAGAAGTGATTAATAGAGAGGGCAGGAGGGAATCCCTTTACATTTAATTACCATATTACCCTCCTCGATTCAAGAACTCCATTTTAACAGGAGAAGAATAAATTAATGTGCAACGAAGAAACTGGCACTGTTTTACCATAGCTCATCACATCCATTTTGTCAATTATAATTATAATTCCATATTTGTTTAGCATGTAGGAAAGAAGACTTGGAAAATAGAACGTTTTAGTATTTTTTTTTTCCCCTTAAAAAATTTGGGGCTCTAATAGTAGATCAACGTGGAAAACAAAGGTGATACTAAAACTGAAATGATTTGATTTGAGGTCGTTGTTGGTGTCCAAAGTGTGGGATAATATATGGGGGCGTCATTTTCACGGATCCAAAGACGTAAAGGAGATTGCAGTTTTGGGTTGGTGGACATGACTCGGGGGAGCATGCATGGAGAACATGGGCGACGTTTCTGACCTGCCCAAACAAAAAGCCAAAAGGCTTCGCAATAAAAAATAATTTAAAATTGATTATAATAATAGAAAAAGGCTGGAGGGGCAGACACGGTTTCCCGGAGATGCAGCTACAAAAGAGAAACGGGGAGCGTGCGTTGTGCCTTTCTCTGGAGCGGCATCGTCATGGTGGGGACAAATGCCCCGCAATAATGTTGATATTGCATTCCGCTAACTCTACTAGGCCGTCGAGAGGACTTTTGTGGCCATTTTTATCGGCTTTCTCTGGTACACCTCAGTTCATTACGCCTCTTGGCCTTCACCACGTTTTCCCACCTGACGTTGTTGAACCTGAGGTGGACCTCTTTTGTCTTGCGTTTTATATTTATTAGCTTCTTTGTGTGAGCGTCATTTTTATTTAATGATAATCGGACAATCTTTTGATTGTGTGCTCAATTTCTTCTGATCTTGCAAAATTAATTTCTGCCTAACTGTGACGTATTACATGACCCTGATTCTACAATACTCTAGTCATAGATTGGTTGCACCTTTCAGCATATTCTTTAAATAAAAATTCCGAAATCAAGTTGAAATTAAGTTCCTCGGTTAGCCAATTATAGGTACACAGGTTTTTAAATGATTTAACAATTAATAAATTGACTTTGTGATTGGATGAATTTGACTTAGGAAGGTGTGAATAGGATTAAAAAAAATATCAAGTTCACATTATTAGTGGAATCATGCATGGACCTACTTACTGCAGACTGTTCCGGCTAATCACTCACTCTAATTTGAAATCAGGCTGTTCCGGTTTTCCTTTCGGAGATCGCACCGACGAGAATACGTGGAGGATTGAATATCCTGTTCCAGCTCAATGTCACCATCGGCATTCTCTTCGCTAGCCTTGTCAACTACGGCACCAACAAGTAAGTCCTCCTTGTTCGCTCATGTTAGTTGAAATTGCCTATTTTCTTACGCCAGTTTGATTGAACACTAATGCTGACCTCCGTTGTGCAACGGCAGAATCAAAGGCGGATGGGGTTGGAGGCTATCTCTGGGGCTGGCTGGCATCCCGGCCGGACTCCTAACCGTAGGAGCTCTCTTGGTGGTCGACACTCCCAACAGTCTCATCGAGCGTGGTCGATTGGATGAAGGCAAAGCCGTGCTTAAAAAGATAAGGGGCACCGACAACGTCGAACCTGAGTTCTTAGAACTGGTCGAGGCGAGCCGTATTGCCCAGGAGGTGAAGCACCCTTTCAGGAATCTTCTCAAGCGCCGCAATCGTCCCCAGCTTGTCATTGCCATCGCCTTGCAGGTCTGTGCCTTTTTTTAATATTTCCCCGCTCTCTGTTGCTTTGTTTTGCAATTGCTTGCCGTTCGATTCTTCTCCATCCATTTTCTTACATTTGGATGCTCAAATTAAACACAGATCTTCCAGCAATTCACCGGTATAAACGCCATCATGTTCTACGCCCCAGTGCTGTTCAACACATTGGGATTTAAAAACGATGCTTCCCTCTACTCTGCCGCGATCACTGGGGCTGTTAACGTCCTCTCCACTATTGTTTCCATCTACTCGGTGGACAAAGTTGGGCGTCGCATGCTCCTCCTGGAAGCCGGTGTCCAGATGTTCTTGTCCCAGGTGGTGATTTCTATTATCCTAGGAATCAAAGTGAAGGACCACTCGGATGACCTTTCGAAAGGGTTTGCGATCCTTGTCGTTGTTATGGTGTGCACTTTTGTGTCTTCCTTCGCTTGGTCCTGGGGGCCTCTTGGGTGGCTCATCCCCAGCGAGACGTTCCCACTGGAGACCCGATCGGCGGGGCAGAGTGTGACTGTTTGTGTCAACTTGCTCTTCACCTTCGTCATCGCGCAGGCGTTCCTCTCCATGCTGTGTCACTTCAAGTTCGGGATCTTCCTGTTCTTCTCTGGTTGGGTCTTGATCATGTCCTCCTTCGTCCTGTTCTTGCTCCCGGAGACCAAGAACATCCCGATTGAAGAAATGACAGAGAGAGTGTGGAAGCAGCACTGGTTCTGGATGAGGTTCATGGAAGATGATTATGGTGATGTCGTGGATGGTAAAGCAGCCAATGGTAAAAATGGGCGAGTTAATGGATTTAATCCCTCTTCCCAGTTGTAAATAAGAATATCGCCATAAAATTGGGTTTGCCATACCAGTAATTCAGGCTCCCCCTCCCCCTCCCCCTCTCCCTCCATCCCTCCCTCTGAATATAGTAAATGCCTGAACATAGTATCATCACGCGCATGAATTAACCATCTTTCCCAAAGCAGTTAATATATTTCAGAATTTTGTGACCCCCTTGGGTTTCCCTTCTTCTTCTTTTCTTCTTTGTATTATGAGAGATGATGTTATTCAAATCAGATATTTCAATTTTTCTCATGGTTGAAACAGGTGCTGTAATTTGGATTACAAATTAGTTGCTGGAACACCCCCTCTCTTTTATCTTCTTTTCCTTTAATTTCTTTCTCATGTTTTCTCGTCAGAGTACAGTCTCTCTTCAAACGAGGGAGTTGTGATTACCAGGGAACGAATAATAAGTCTTAAAAAAATAATTAATATTTGTTGGAAGCAAAATTAAATAATAGCGGGTGGAATATAAAGCATGACCATGGCATTCCTTCTAAAGCAGCAGGGGCAAAAAACTTCCCTCCTTGTTTTGCCCCCCTTTTCAGGTGGAATCCACTGCACGTCAGCACCTTAAAAAAACCAAATACAATGCCAATCGATATTTGGTGACAATGGATATACGAACCAATCATTCATTGCATGAATTACAAGTAATAACTCTGTTTTTTTCGGCCAAAGAGTCATCTTCATTGATTTTTCAAATAAACTGCAAGTAATCAAGAAATGTAATCTCATCAATCGATATATTACTGCGATTGAGAAGAAAAAAATCACATATTTTGATGCTGATATTAAATGCAAACAACTTCCTCTATTCATAATAAATTCTCTCGCCCACCTTTGCCTAGTGGATATTATACAAAATTCATCAACCCGCGCGAGGCTTCAAATTTGAAACAAATGTTGATTGAGTGGAAGTGATTAAAACTATTTGAGGCCCAAGGATTCATCTTACGGAAAGTATCTGATATAAAATAAAATGGATACATCAAAGAAAAAAAAAAAAATTACACGCCATGTGGTCCTATTCTCTTTGTGCATGGCTGTCTCAAATTCATAAATTGTTGGAATGCATACATCTGCATCTATGTCTATATTATATTATATTTAAAGAAATACTTTGAATATTGGAGCATTAAGTCTTGATCATATAAGATACATGCATTAGTTTTTTCCATGTAAGATTTTTTTTCAAATTAAACATGAGATCTGATGATTCGATGAACCGAATCATTGAAAATATCAACAATCGTAGTCCATTTCATAATTACCATTTACCGTGAGTGTCATGGGTTGCACCAGGGCCGAGTATCCGATGCCAGGCCAGACCCAACTGTCTCTGATTCGATTTATTGCCAAGTCTGTCTATGCTGATTGGACCATTAAAAATTGTGAAAAATCATAAAATTTTTATATTATATCCTAAAATAATTTTTTAAAATAATAACCCACTATGTTCAGCGTTTTCCTTGCCCAAACTCAATTAATGCTTTTAACAAAAAACAAAAAACAAAAACAAAAGAATTCTCATCTCGATGGAATTGGGTTGGCAATAGTGTCAACCGTGCCAAAGCGAACCAGGCTCAACCCAATTTGATGCCATTCTTTTTTACTTTAACAAGGACTTATGTTGACAGACAAAAAACAAAAAAAAGGACTTGTGTGGTTTTAACTTTTTTAATTAGTAAGATAAAAATTTACAAGTATTTAAAATAAAAAAATTATAATACATATATATTTTTATTCATGTTTTAAAATTTTCTTTTAAACCATAAAAACATTACAAATAAGTTTAGATAACTGCATTTTTTTTTCCGAATAGAATATTTCTGTTTAAATTACTAACTAATTTTTATTTTATTTCTGTTTTACCTTTTTTTATTTCTGTTTAAATTTTAGATAGCATTTTCTTTATCTTATGTTAAACTTTATAATACTAGCTAGTATTTATCAATTCTTACGGTCTTGTATCATATTTTATCATACAAAAAATATATAACTGTGACTTGATTTAATTTTCAAATGTTTTAAGATAGTTATCCAAAGTCCTTGCAACTAATGGATTAGAAATTTAAATTTAAATTTAAATATTTACGTATATCTTGATTTTTTTTAAAATTTTAAAACACGAAGTGTTTGACTCGATCAATTAATAGTTTTTTTTTTTAACAGGATAGTATAAATTAGACAATTACTTCAATCTCCCGGTAAGAAAAGATAATTGCTGTAATCTATTAGATAATTATGGATAGTCCTTACCATTGAAGGATGTAAAACATTACCAGTTTGATGGTGCCTTATAAACACGCCCTCCCCACCCATTGCTCTTCACTCCCACTATTACATTGCTTCTCTTTCTCCCCCTCTGCACACTACCCTCATTGACTTGTAGATTCTTTCGGAGCTGTGTGTCCGAAGAAAGCATCCATGGCTGGCGGAGGTTTCGTTAGAGGGGGCGCCGCCGGCGATTTCGAAGCCAAGATCACTCCGCTCGTCATTATTTCATGCATAATGGCCGCAACTGGAGGCCTTATGTTTGGATACGACGTCGGCGTTTCTGGTCTCTACTTTCTCTCTTCAACTCTACCTTTCCTATTCACCACCCTGTTGATTCTCTCTCCTTTCACGCTGAACACAAGACTGATTACCTTTCATTCCTGCGGATGCTAGCTAATCGTTATTATACAAATTTAAAACAGAAAAAACCTTTTACATTCATCTTTATTCTTTCCATTAAAAATAAAACCTCTCTTAGGGTTTACTCATCATATCATATTCCCGTCCGTTCTTCGCTTGTAAACTAATGTATGTTATTTGTTATGGTGGAATGGATCAGGTGGAGTGACGTCGATGCCTCCGTTCTTGAAGAAATTCTTTCCGGTAGTATACAGACGGACCGTGGAGGAGAAAGGGCTGGACAGTAATTACTGCAAGTACGACAACCAAGGGCTGCAATTGTTCACGTCGTCTCTGTACCTGGCGGGTTTGACAGCGACCTTCTTCGCTTCCTACACGACCAGAAAGTTGGGAAGGAGGCTAACCATGTTGATCGCCGGCCTCTTCTTCATCGCCGGAACTGTCTTCAATGCCGCCGCTCAAAACCTAGCCATGCTCATCGTCGGCAGACTCCTACTCGGTTGCGGCGTTGGTTTCGCTAACCAGGTCCAACTATCCAGCATATGTCTTTCCTTCTTTCTTTTTTACAACTATATCTCGAGTTGCATAGAGCCCAAAAAATATATATATTGCTGCTGATGATAACTATTTTATCCTGATAATAATATTAATATAAACAAATATTAACATCTATCTGAGTTGTTTACCACAAAAAAAAAAAAGGGTTAGCCTTAGACTTACGTGTCTTATGCCAAAAGAAAGTCTTAGACTTCCTGGACCACCTAAAAGTGTGTTTTTTTTTTTTGGGTGTCATCTATGGACCTAAACCATCCATTAATCAATGTTTCTGTGCCCATTATAGTATTCATTTTACCCGAAAAAAATTTGACGTCGACAAACTTGATAGGGATCTCTTCTGATCTGTGTTTTTTTCGGTTTAATTATGTGAAGTTGTGAGCGCACAATATTATGGTAATCGGATTTTTTTCTTGAAACCCAAAAAGAGCAAACTGAACTCAATGATTTTCGGACCTTTTTTAAAAAACAAGGTTTCTTTGGAAATTAATGTCATTGCCTCGTTGGCCTAATGTCAAACAATGACGCCTGGCATGACCTATATATTCGTTCAATTTAAGTATGGCAGACTATTCTATGTATTCTTCAGTCTCAGATTGTACCTCTTGATTCTTTAATTATGTTGCTTCAGGTCTAAGTTAACAAGAGGCACGAAGACACAGAATGTTCTTAAATTGTTTAACAATTATCTAATTGGCTAGTAGTGGGGGGAGCGGGGCTCTGACTAAGATATATCAAGTTCCCATTAGTGGAGCAATATTTTAAACCTACTGAAACAGGCGGCTAACTCATATTGTTGCAATGTTGCGTGAATTTGAATGCAGGCTGTGCCGGTTTTCCTTTCTGAGATCGCACCTACAAGAATACGTGGAGGATTGAATATACTGTTCCAGCTCAATGTCACTATTGGCATTCTCTTCGCTAATCTTGTCAATTATGGCACCAACAAGTAAATCACCTCCTCTTGTTTACTTCACTAGTTGAAATTTCCTTTAAAAAAAAAAAAAAACGCCAGATTGATTGAATACTGATGCTGACATCGATTGTGCAACGACAGAATCAAAGGAGAATGGGGTTGGAGGCTATCTCTGGGGTTGGCTGGCATCCCAGCGGGACTCCTAACCTTAGGGGCTCTTTTGGTGGTCGACACTCCCAACAGTCTCATCGAGCGTGGTCACCTGGAAGAAGGCAAAGCTGTTCTTAAAAAGATAAGAGGCACCGAAAACGTCGAACCTGAGTTCCTAGAACTGGTTGAGGCAAGCCGTATCGCTCAGGAGGTGAAGCACCCTTTCAGGAATCTTCTCAAGCGCAGCAATCGTCCCCAACTGGTCATTGCCATCGCCTTGCAGGTCTGTGCCTTTTTTAAACTTTTCCCCCTTGGTGCTCTGCTTTTCTGAAGCTTGCTGCTCAATTTCTTTTGTTCATTGTCTTACACTTGAATGCTCAAATTATATACAGGTCTTCCAGCAATTCACCGGCATAAACGCAATCATGTTCTACGCTCCAGTGCTGTTCGACACGTTGGGATTTAAAAATGACGCTTCCCTCTACTCTGCTGTTATCACCGGGGCTGTTAATGTCCTCTCCACTATAGTATCCGTCTATTCAGTGGACAAAGTTGGACGGCGTGTGCTCTTACTGGAAGCTGGTGTTCAGATGCTTTTGTCTCAAGTGGTGATTGCTGTGATCCTAGGAATCAAAGTGACGGACCGCTCTGATGACCTTTCAAAAGGGCTGGCTGTCTTAGTGGTGGTTATGGTGTGCACTTTTGTATCTTCCTTCGCTTGGTCCTGGGGGCCTCTTGGGTGGCTCATCCCCAGCGAGACGTTCCCTCTGGAGACTCGCTCGGCGGGGCAGAGTGTGACTGTTTGTGTCAACTTGTTCTTCACCTTTGTCATTGCACAGGCTTTCCTTTCAATGCTGTGTCACTTCAAGTTCGGGATCTTCCTGTTCTTCTCTGGATGGGTCTTGATCATGACCTTCTTCGTCCTTTTCTTGCTCCCCGAGACCAAGAATGTTCCCATTGAAGAGATGTCGCAGAGAGTATGGAAACAGCATTGGTTCTGGAA